TAGCAATAGTTCGCATAGTTACGCGATCAGTATCCAGGATTCAATTAAATGGTTAAAGGCATATTAAGTGTGCAACTCAAAACCTAAGTTCCCTAAGAATTGCTTAAGACCACCCTAGATAGGTGTTTTTCCTTAAAACCTTTCCATCCATCCATTTAGTCAATATATTTCTGACAATTTTCAGCTTTTTTTCTTACTTCTATAGCACTTTTAACAACAAAAACAATAAAAATCTGATAACTGGTGATGATGATGTTGGTAGCAGAAGAAAAAATGGCAACAGTTTCTGTAGTTTGCAACACAAAAAAAAAAAAAGCAAAATGGAAGTGGAAAAACTGTCAAATACGATTAGTAAAAACATAGATAATGAGCTGAGAGATGGGAACTGAAAGGCAACAAAATATAACAGAATTTGCTTCTTTTGTCATATTTCTTGGCTTGCCTTGCTTTGTTTTGCTTCCATCAATCATCTATCAACTTATAAAGTAACATACTACAAACCTTTGCTATACTTAAAACCAATAAGCTTTGAGAAAAAACTAAATACTGTTCTCTTTTGTTTGTTGCCTAATTTTAATTCCTAAAAAAGCAAAAAAAACTTTTACTAAGAATCTTTTACAGATCAGTTTATATGCAAAAATGCTATCAAATTCCACAGCACAAAAAAAAATTGCCACGTGACTTAAAAATCTGTCAGACAAGAAATCTTTTCATTGAGTTTTGACACCCCTAATATCTTAGTTCATCAAAACACATTTATCACAGACTGCTTAAGATAAGATTTCTTAAGTAACAGAAAAACGAATAGCACATAAAACATCCACCATTTTGCAGCAAATTATATATCCTAATCAATTTTTTTGGTGCCCATAACTCACCGTTTAATACACAGACAAAGAATTTAATATTGCTTAAACACAGCATAAATCCTCTAGCAATTTTCTTCATTTTCTTCAAATGTCAATCCATATCACTGTAATAAAGCAACAGCTTCAACACCACATTATTACATATTTTCGATGTAAACTTTTTTTAGACAAAAATTTTTGCCGAAAATGCTCACCGCCAAAAAACCATCTTAATGACTCCACCAAAAAACCAGACCGACGTCAATTTTCCAAAGAATATCTGCAGTTTCACTGTCCGTAATCATGCTCCATATAAAACCATCACTAACCGCAACCAAAACTGCTGTTTAAATATTTTGCTTACAAGAAATACTGAGTAAAAACAAAAAAAAAAATACAGACCACACAAAATCTTCAACCGTCATCGAAAACAACAAAATCCATCTTGAACCTTACTCTACTGTGCCAACAAGCACTCTACAGCTTCCAACTGTTCCGAGTTTTCATTGCTTAGAAAGTACAGAAAAAAAATAAAGAAAAAAGGAAAAAAAAAGACCTAAGTGATCACTTAGCTTTTAGGAATGATAAATATCTTGTAGTTTATCTCTACCGAAACAAAAAACAGATGTTTTCTGCATCTAGTATTTTTTGCTTCAACAGTGTTTATCCCACAAAAAATCGAACAACTAAAAAACAATAAAAAAAAAAATTTAATGTTGGACCCATTAACATCCTTCAACGATAATCAGCACACTGTTAGGAACAAATTTAAGTTTTTTTTTTGCTAACAAATCAATTTATTTAATTCTCGCTTTAAACTTTCCGCTCTTCACGCAAAGACAACTGTGTTAATATGCACCCTTAAATGCTATGAATAATCTCAAATCGCCAATCATCCAGACAATCTTGTCCGTAGAAGTGCTCAGCTGGTTTTGAAATACAAAACAAGTAACATGTACCCAACCAAATGGAAATGTAACTAAATTTTGACTAGAAACATTCTCTGCTGCCTACATGAAGGTAACGACATAAAGGGGGTTACACCTTCCACCAATCATTTCGAAAAACAATACAATGAAAAATCTGAGTTCACAGCAACGTCTGCCAGAATAGTCCAACAGGACCCACCGTGTAAGCAGTAAGTTGCAGATTAAACGACCTGAACGCTAAAAAATACCGAAGATGCTCACTCCCCCAATATGAAAAATTTCACTTAACTCCTACCACTGCCTTACTGCCATCACCAATAAAAAAAACTTTGGTCTCCTGAACTAAATTACGGACTTTACTTCAACAACAAGTATGTAAATGGCCTCTCTCAAAATCCAACAACTGAGAAGCATGCACGCACAGATCTGGCTACCTTCCGGCACGCTGTCATATTCATTCATTACTGAAACCACCATAAATGATCATAGCACAATAAGGACACAGTGAACCCATCACGACTTCTTGAAGCCATGGGTTTTGCAAGACAGGAACTCAACAAATGTCACGACCCAATGAGAGAAAAACATCCATCACTCCAAAGATGAAAAAACAAAAACCTGGTCGATTGTGCAATCGACAAAGAAAATTTTTTTTCAACAAAAAATTTTTTTCTTTCTTCATTTTCTCAGAATAATAATAACAATAATAATAAAAAATTATTTTCTCCACAGCTGCTTCTCTTCCCCGATATCTTCTAACATACAATTTCAAAAGCTCTTTAAAATAAAGAATGAAAGGAGAAGAAAAATAAAAGACAAACAACAGCCAAGACAGCCAAGATTATGTGTATTTACATACGCGTAGAACTCCATTCGTCAACAATGAAAAATGGTTCAAAGTAATTGAAAAAGCGGCAGGTTTTGCGACCCAACCAAATCTGCAAAACTACAATTCCAACGCCACCAGGTGAAAAAAACCTCGGGCAACTTCGAAGCAAAAATGAACAGAAAAAAGTAAGGACCACAATGAAACAGAAAGAAAATTTGCACTAATTGCCTGAAAAATAAAGACTTTATGAATGAAATGATTGAAGAAAGTACGAATGGACAACAGCACACAAAAGAAAAACAAAACACAGGAGTCAACTTGAACTTTAACAAACAAAAAAAAAAGTAGGAAATAAATGGCCAGCAAACGAAATTTTCAGAGCAATAATAGTTCCTGTTATTGCAAGAATTTTCCAGAATTAAATAGTTCACTTTCAGTATACAGCCAGAGCGAAGATGAAACACATACATATATAAAACATCACTGAAAAAGTGAAGAAACATGATCACACTACATGTGTCTATCCTGTGACTAAATTAAAGTACAAATTTATATTCCTATGACAATCCAAATAATGAATTACGCAGTTTCAGCCCATCAAAGAAAATTTAAATAAGTACCATAAAAGCTACCTAAAAGACTTTTAAAACCTCATCTTCACAAGTTCATCATTCATCATATGTAATAAATAAATTTCTTAAAAAATATGTGATACGAAATGAAAAGGCTCACCTCCATCATAAACAAGTTCTTGAAAATATAAATTTTTAAAGGTTTAATGAGACAAAACAGAAAAGCCGAGAATGAGACATAGATGAAACTACAAAACTCTCATTGAACCTACGAAACTGCTGTGAATACAAATAAAAAACAGAAAACTTCACTTCTTTTCAAAACTGATATGGACATAAGAAAACCAGACATTTCCTGCAAAGGCTTTGCTTTGACGCAAACAAAATGAAATATATTTGCCAGGGTCAAACTGATATAAAACGCGCTATAAGGCAGTCAATTGTTTCGTTTGCAAACATTCCTGAGGAAACGTTAAAAAACCACTAACAACTGAAAAACCACCTTTAAAAAATCAACAAATATCAGTATTACTGTCAAATCTTCCTGCTTTAGACTTACCAAATTTTAGCGAGAAGAAAGAAAAAAGCAGCTGTTAAAGATTAAGTGCAAGGCCTGTCGGCACCGTTTAAGTTTTATCAGGAGAGAAAAAGAAAAACATTTAGTAACCTGTCATGACAATGAAAGCAAAACGACCTATAATTTTTGGGTGCCATACAAATGAAATTCCCCATAAATATTCCAGAAGAGTAGTAATGGTAATCTATAGATTTAATGTAAAGTAACAAATTAACTCACCAATTTCGCCTTTTCTTTTACAACAAGAGCACCATCATAGATCAGTATTATACATCACAGCGCTAAACTATTGTTCTAATGTATTGGGAGGTAAGCACAATGTTTTCCTCACAAGATTGTCCGCAATTCTTTCAAATTGTTCCCTGTCTTCTCGCCACATCTTAGCTGCGTTAACGTTAGCGGCGCTTTCATCATTTGGTTCTGTAAAAGACTGCTGTGATTTTATTGCAAATTTTCTCACACTAAACAAGATGGAACTCAAAAAGTAGTACGTTTAATAAAATTCCTTATTAAATAAATCACAAGAAATCAACCCTTCCACTCACGAGGAGTAAAAAACTTAAGAAAATTCAAAGTATTGATTTAGATAAGAGCTTTACCAGCTAACATTGAAACAACGGAAAGAAGGATCTTCTCAACTGATTGTACCGGCGACCACCTTTCGGCACTCGATTCGTATCCTGTAGGGTCATCTCCAGGTGCGTGTAAGATGCTAATACACACGCGGCCATCAGGATAGATATTGGGATGGAATAAATCACAAGTGAATTGCATTTTGGGAGGAGACAAAGGGTAATCCTTTAAAATCAGACAGTTCTTCAGTATATGCAACGAGTCTTTTGGCAACAAGTCTGAGCAAAAAAATCAATTAAAGACCCAAAAGAATGAAATTTAAATAATAGTTTACTTGGGGAAATGAAATTTTGGCTGGAAATACACCATTTTCAAAACAAGTGCCTTCGGGACCTGTTATTAAGCATTCCCACTCAAAGAAATTGTCTTCGTCAATAGGACCCGCAATGATCCCTTCGGGAGGATTTAGTGTTAACTCTGTAACAAATGATTTGAGACACACATAGCAAAAACCCTTTCTAAATCAATCACTTAAATCTTAGAATTCATATCACAAACTTATCAGTAACAATTAAACAAAGATGCTCAAACCTTCTGTAACGAAGTTATCGAGTTACATAATTTACACCTACGCAACACTATAAGCTGCTTTACATTCGGATATTAGCGTTCTCGTAATAAAATATCCACGAAAAAATGCTTGCTTCGGCAAAAACTTCCCAAAAGTTCTGAGTGAGACTACTGCGATAAAAAATTTTTTAAACTAAATAACTGAAGTGGCAAAAAACTAAAGTGGTTTAAAAAACCGCACGAAAACCAAGTCTCCTCGCGATCATAAAAAAAATCCAAATAAACTTTTCAACGCCCAACAAAAACGTCAAACGTGGCCTGTAAAGGTCTAACTGATGCGGAAAATTTTGAGCATAAAAAACTGAGCCTTTATAAGACTGCTGAACAACTCAGAAAAGCAACAAGTGCCTCCTGTTCCTATTAACTATAAACGGAGGAGAAAAATGTTAGAAACAATAAATTAATTATAAGGTCTATCTAACGAATAACGAATGCGACAGTTGCAGCCTGCGCGATCTACTGAACTTTGCTAAGAAAGGTACCAAAACCGAATTTCCAGACAGCAAAAAAAGGTGATAAACACAGGTTCAAACCTACGTTTGTATTCGGACATAAGTCTTTTCAGAGCATAGCCTGCCATCGTTGATGTAACACTGAAAAAAAAAAAAAAGTATTTTTGAACTGGGTAGATCGAGTCATTGGTGATAGACTTGTACACGTTAACGGTGATCAACGAAATATAGCCGCCATTACTACGCATCGAGAAAACCTGCTCATCATACTCCAACTTTCGTAACTGCACAAACCGAACAAAAGGAATAAAAACAAATCATATCCAGCCTTCCTTACTTTCCCGCACCCGACTGACACAGGTTGTTTGGTTCCGCAGGCGAGTACAAACACCGACAAAAAGCCGCAGTATTCCGCTTAAAATTTAGTAGATAACTGTAAGAACTGAACATCAGCAGGAGTATACAAATTCTTGCAGATAAGACTCTTGCAGCGCAAAAGCGGCTTTGAAAAGGATATTATTAAATTTTTTTTGCCTCAATCAAAACCCATTTGTCTTTCAGCAGCAGTAAATAGTTAAATCATTTTACTGTGTTGATTAGGAAATTAAATAAACAGTAGACAAACAGGACGCTGTTGAAGGAAATTAGAATGTTTCATAACCTCTATAGTTTTTAGTACGGAATTACTGCTGGTCATTGATGTTTCAAAAGTGTTAAAAGCCAGCGACGTCTCACTATTCCTTCATTCTTTTTTTTTTTTT